AATGGGCACAATGAAAGATTCAGTGAGGTTATACAGTAAAGTATACCACGCACAAATTCATTCATTCATTCAGCCGCTCATGCATCCATTTGTTTAATTCATTTATTCAGATATTCATTGAGCATCTGCTCTGCGCCAGGCACAGGGAATACGATGGTATTCAGTTTCCCCTGAATTGGCTCTCATGAAAAATTTTTGTCTTTAGACTCTGAGGCCCTCAAAGGCAGGGACTGGGATGGATTTGTTCTTGTGGCTCCAGACATTGCCAGTTCTCTTCTTTCCCTGTAAGAAAGAAGGGCTTTCTTGAAAGAGGACGTATTAAATAGGTAGATGCTGATTCAACGTCCTTCCACCCTCCCTTCTGAGTTCCTAGAAATTTGTTTTTCCGCCCCCTGCGTGAGCGGCGTGGAAGGAGCTCGGGCAGTGAGTCATTTGAGGAAGCACAAATCCAATCTATAGAGAATCCACGTGGGCAACATCTCGTTCCTCTCTCCCCGCAGTGTAACGTTCGCTGCCCATCCTCACTTCTCTCAAACACATCCGCCACCCACGCTCAGGCTTCGCCCTCCATCCCCTGATCCTGTCTTCAGCCTTCTTGTTCTCCCACCTCCGGGCGTCCTCCCTGTGGTCTCTCCTCCGCAGGGGCCTTGGAGGCTCTTCCTCAACCCAGATCCAGCCCCACCTCTCCCCTGCTCGAAGCAGTTCCCTGCCATACGATGGAACAGTATTCAGTCCCAAAAAGGAGTAAGGCACCGACACACGCTGCAGTGTGAATGAAACTCAGAAACATCGTGCTAAGAGAAAGGAGCCACAGAATGTGTAATTCCATTTCTGTAAAATATCCAGAATAGGTCAATCTGTAAAGACAGAAAGCAGGCCGGTGGTTGCCAGGGGCTGGGGCAGGGAGAACGGGGAGTGACCGCTTAGTGGGGATGGGGTTTCCTTTTGGGGTGATAAAAAGGGCTAGAAACAGATAGTGGTGATGGTCGTACAACATGGCTAGTGTATTTATTGTTAATGAATTGTACCCTTTAAAATAGTTATTACCGGCTGGGTGCGGTGGCTCACGCCTGTAATCCTAGCCTGAGAGGCCAAGGCGGGAGGATTGCTTGAGGTCAGGAGTTCGAGACCAGCCTCAGCAACAGTGAGACCCCCGTCTCTACTACAAATAGAAATAAATTAGCGAGCCAACTAAAAACAGAAAAAATTAGCTGGGTGTGGTGTCACGTGCCTGTATAGTCCCAGCTACTTGGGAGGCTGAGGCAGGGGGATCACCTGAGCCCAGGAGTGTGAGGCTGCGGTGAGCTATGATGATGCCACGGCACTCTAGCCTGGGTGACAGAGCAAGACTCTGTCTCAAAAAAAAAAAAAGTTATTAACCATTTTATTTTGTGCCTAATAACTAGGCCAAACAAAATATTAAAAATTTTTAGGCCAGGCACTGTGGCTTGTGCCTGTAATCCTAGCACTTTGGGAGGCTGAGTCAAGAGGATTGCTGGACCCCAGGAGGTTGAGGTTGCTGTGAGCTAGGCTGACAGCATGGCACTGTAGCCCGGGCAACAGGACCAGACTCTGTCTCAAAAAAAAAAAACAAAAATAAAGGAGAAGAGATTGGGACACAGGCACACATAGGATGATCGCATGAGAAGGTGGCTGTCTGCAAGCCAAAGAAAGAGGCCTCAAAAGAAAACCAACCTTGCTGACAACTTGATTAGACTTGTAGCTTCCAGAACTGTGAGATGATAAATTCCTATTAAGTCACCCAGTCTATGGTACTTTTTTGTGGCAGCCCTAGAAACTAACACAAAACCAATGATGAGCAAGACACAAGTCTCTGCATTCAAAGAAGTTTTATTCTATTCAAGGAGACAGACATTAGACAAGTTAATCAATAAACAAGTTAATGGGTAAACTAGATAATTTTAGGAAATGAGTGATCATTACTACATGGAAAATACAAGAGGATGGCATGAGTTGAAAATGACTGAGGTGAAGTCACTGTTAGGGAGGTCAGGGAAGACTTCTCTGCACAGGTGACATTTGAGCCAAGACCTAAGCAATAAGAGCCAGCGAAGATCCATGGCAAGAGTGTTCCAGGCAGAGTGGTTGTGCATGCGCAAAGGTCCTGAGGTAGGAATGGATCTGGTTCACTTTGGAGGTCATGGTAAAGAGGGTGAGTTTTATTCCGAGTATAACAGAAAACCATTGAAGAGTAATTATCATCCTCTCTGAGCTTGGTTTCCCCACCTGCCCACTGAGGCTAACAAGTCAAGTCTTACCGGACCTTTTCTGAGGATGCGGAGAGGAATGGCTGAGGAAGTGTGATATGAACTGCAAATCTTTTTTTATAACTCCTAGCTGTGGGTATCATTTCTCATCTCCAGTGGCTAGCCTGATATGTAATTTGTTAAGTTGGATCCAGGGAGAAAGAAGGCGTAACATTTATTGAGTACTAGGCGTCAATTTCACACTCCTCGGATGTGACTAACACCTGAACTGTCACTGCCGCAGAGCAGGAATCGCACCTGTAGTTCAGCGTCTGGCTCATAGTAAGTGCCTAATGAATAGTTTCGGAATCCACGAATAGATAGAAGATGCTCAATAATTAAGTACTGAATTTTAGGCCGGGCGCGGTGGCTCACGCCTATAATCCTAGCTCTCTGGGAGGCCGAGGCGGGCGGATTGTTTGAACTCAGGAGTTCAAGACCAGCCTGAGCAAGAGCGAGACCCCGTCTCTACTAAAATTAGAAAGAAATTAATTGGACAACTAAAAATATATAGAAAAAATTAGCCGGGCATAGTGGTGCATGCCTGTAGTCCCAGCTACCCGGGAGGCTGAGGCAGGAGGATCGCTTGAGCCCAGGAGTGTGAGGTTGCTGTGAGCTAGGCTGATGCCACGGCACTCTAGCTCAGGCAACACAGTGAGACTCTGTCTCAAAAAAAAAAAAAAAAAATTAAGTACTGAATTTTAAAATATGCCAGGTACACATATATAAAATATGCTTCTGAGAGTTCTTTGAATTTTGTTGCATTTAGGTAGTGTTATTTCAGTGAAAGAATGTGCTCACCACATTGGGGAGCACGAGATACACTATGTAGAGCATATATTATTATACACAATGCTTCTAAGAATGCCAGTTATATATGTGAATAAGGACAGTGTTATTTCGGTGGAAGAATGTGTTAGCCACACTGGGGTGCTTGGAATACACTATGGGAAGACACGTGCGTAACAGATGTTTCAAACCTGGAAGACGTGATGCTAAGTGAAATAAGCCAGACACAGAAGGACAAATGCTATGTGATGCCACTTATATGATGATGAATCTACAATAGTTAAAGTCACAGAAGCAGAGAGTGAAATGGTGGTTGCCAGGGGCTAGACAAAGGGGAAACCGGGAACTAGTCAAAGAACACAAAGTTTCAGTTGTGTAATATGAATAATTCCTAGAGAGCTATTGTACAGCATAATGCCAATAGCTAACGATGCTGTATTTTGTACTTAAAAATTTGCTAAGAAGTTAGATCTGATGCTGTGTTTTTATCACACACACACACACGAATAATAATAATAATAAGTAAGGAGAGTGGGAGGAAACTTTGGGAGGTGATGGGTATGTTTCTGGAACAGACTATCGTGATGACTTCATGGTGTATATGTACGTATTTCCAAACTCATCAAATTGTATACACTAAACATGTACAGGTTTTGTATGTCAATCATACCTCAATCGAGTGGTAAAAAAGAGTTTCTAAAGGAAAAAAATAAAATAAATTAAAAATATGTCAGGCAGTTGTTCTTAACCTCGCTCTGTTGCCCAGGCTGGAATGCAGTGGCATCATCTTGGCTCACAGCAACCTCAGACTCCTGGGCTCAAGCGATCCTCCTGCCTCAGGCTTTGAGTAGCTGGGACTGCAGGCTCATACCACCATACCCCGCTAATTTTTCTATTTTTCATAGAGAAAGTGGCCTCGCTGTGTTGCTTAGGCTGGTCTCAAACTCTTGGCCTCAAGCAGTCCTTCTGCCTTGGCCTCCCGGAGTGCTAGGATTACAGTTGCGAGCCACCACGTCCAGTCCTCGTTTGACAAATCAAAATCAGAGGCCCAGGCCGGGCGCGGTGGCTCACCTCCCTTCCTCTTTGCCGGATGAGCTCTAAGTTTGTTCAGCCTGTTCATCTTCCTCCACTCAGCCGTGTGGTTCATGAACCCAATTGTGGTAACCCAGTTCCGCCTTGCCAGGCATTGGTTTAAATGACCCATGTGCCCCAGTTCCAATCTGTGAGACATGACAAGTCTGCTGACAACTTTTGTTGTCCTAAAAAGAGACATATGAGTCCTGGTGTGGTTGACAACAGAGGGAGACTCTGCCTTATTAAAAAACAACACCGACCAAGAAAAGAGATGTATGAGGAAAAAAAAGGTCTATATTCTTTGGTTGGAAATCATTGCATCTGCGTGTGGGTCTGGAGCTGCAGCAGCCATCTTGAGATCATGAGGGGACCTGGCCGGAGAGAGCAAGGTGACAGTGTACACATGGCAGAGCAGGAAAGTGGACATCAGGGAGCCACTGAATTAACTAGACCTCTAGGAATTCGACTGCAAGACTTTATGAAATGTGAAAGCACAAACCACGTTGTTCTTCTTGTTTTCACTTCTTATACAACCAATCATAAGCTTGAGGAAGTGGCGCAGCCACTGTTTGGAGCCTACGACAGACTAGTCACCAGCGAAACCAGGAAAATGGAAGGAAGGACGAAAGAGAGTGACCGTTTTGTCAAGAGAGCCAGGGAGAGAGAGCAGAAGTGAAATCTTTCTCACAAGTCTGATGGCTCCTGAGATTTCTTAATCTCCCCCAACTTCCTCTTCTTGGGAGTGGACACCTCTCGGTGAGCGGGGCAGGGCCGGAGGGAACCGCACAGTGAGAAAGCACTACTTCAGCGAGAGGCTTTCCCTCCCTCCCTCATTCCTACAGCCGCCGGCTCGCAGCAGCCTCTCCTCCCTCTGCCTGAGAATGGTCCCTTGGCGGGTGTGTTGGGATTGCCCCTCACCCTGGCCATAGAAACTGCCTGGTCTCCAGTCCCTCCCTCTCAGGACTCACGGCGTCCCCATGCTGCGAACCCCCGTCCGGGATGGCCTCTGCCGTCTGTCCACCTACTTGGAAGAACTGGAGGCCGTGGAACTGAAGAAGTTCAAGTTATACCTGGGGACCGTGACAGAGCTTGGAGAAGACAAGATCCCTTGGGGACGAATGGAAACAGCCGGTCCCCTGGACATGGCCCAGCTGCTCACGGCCCATTTCGGGACGGAGGCAGCCTGGCTGCTGGCTCTTGGCATCTTCGAGCGGATCAACAGGAGGGACCTGTGGGAGAGAGGACAGAGAGAGGACCTGGTGAGGGGTAAGGAGGTGGTGGGCAGCCACATCCGGAATCCACCAGTTCCCTTTGCTTTTGAGAAAATCCCTGAGCCTGGGGGACCTGGAGTTCTAATTTCATCCCTTTGATCTTTGTTCATGCTGTCTTCTGCCTGGAACATCCTCCCTCGATCTTTTTTGCCTGGAAAATCCTTTTTTATCTGTCAGGACCTTCAAGGCACTACCTTCTCTGTGAATTCTTTACTCCTCTTCCCACCCCATCCTGTTCCCCACCCTTGACCATTCTGGCTGGCTGAGAAATCCCACTTTTGTGCTTCCTAAGCACTCTTAGATTTCTTTCTTTCTTTCTCTTTCTTTCTTTCTTTCTTTCTTCCCTCTCTCTCTCTTTCTTTCTTTCTTCCTCCCTTCCTCCTTCCTTGCTTCCTACCTTCCTTCCTTCCTTCCTTCTTCTTTCTTTCTTCTTTTCTTTTTTTTTTGAGACAGGGTCTTACTTTGTTGCCTGGGCTAGAGTGCAGTGGTGTCATCATAGCTCACTGCAGCCTCAAACTCCTGGGCTCAAGTGATTCTCCTGCTTCAGCCTCCCGAGTAGCTAGAACTACAGGCGTGCACCACTATGCTTGGCTAGTTTTTCTATTTCTTGTAGAGCTACGGTCTTGCTATGGTGCTCAAGCTAGTCTGGAACTCCTGGCCTCAAGCAATCCTCCTGTCTCGGCCTCCCAAAGTGCTAGGATTACAGGCATGAGCCACAGCACCTGGCCAGATTTCTTTTATTATATTATCTGTCTTATAAAACAATCACAATGGTACTAACACTTATGGATTCTCTCCTATACTATGGCATCCACTGTGCATAGTAATGCTGCATCAGCACAGTGTTTAGCACGCTATGTGGTGCTCACTTCGGCAGCACGTATACTAAGATTGGAACTATACAGAGATCAGCATGGCCCCTGTGCAAGGGTGATACACAAATTCATGAAGCATTCCATGTTAAAAAAATTAAGATTTTAAAAATTTCAAAAATGCTATGCATTAGATATGACTATTATCTCTATTATACAGATGAGAAAATTGAGGCTCAGAAAAAAAATTTGCCCTCAGACAAAAGTTCATGAGATAATATACATGCAAAGTGTATAACATAATTCAGAACCAGTGGTGAGTACTCAGCCAATACCAGCTATTGCTGCAAGTGGCAGAGATGGCATTTGAGCTCTGGTTTTTAACATCATTTCTTACCTGTCGTCCCTACTGGGACATGGACCCCTCAAGAGCAGAGAGGGTTTTGACTCCTCTATGTGATGCTCTGTGATCGCAGCGTCTGGCTAGGGCTAGGGACAGAGTAAGCCTTGGTGCATGTTTGATGAATGAATAAGCAAGTTCTGCCAGTAACTGACATTCAAAGTCACTTCTGTGAAGCTTACTGACTCACAGTGAATGAGGGGTGATGGTAGTGGTGTGCTGGGAAACTTTTAACGTCTCTAAAAAAACGAGGTTTTTAATGACGCTGAAAACACAAAGGCCCGTGTTTGTAGAATTTGTTCATTGCTGGCGTGTAAATTCTCCCAGCAAGGCTGATTTCAAGCTACCAAAGTGAAGTCAACCAGCTGGAATTCACAGAAATGTAACAATAGGTCTACTACCAGCCTGCGAGGCCTCCTTGCAGGTCGCAGGAAACCTGGGTAACTCAGCACTCTCTGCTCCGATCCCCGCCTTCCACTGCGGCTCCCTGCAGGCTGTTCTCCGCTCAGCAAGTGGGGTAATCGTTTTCTTCACCCATTGCCTCCCTCCTGTCCAGAGTAATCTTTAAAGTCACCAGTTAAGTCATTTCCTCCCCTGTTTCAAATTCTGTAGTGGCTTCGTCTTGCGAATAGAATGTAATCTGAACTCCTTGACATGGTCCACGCGATCTAGCTGTGCCTAACACTCAACCCCGAAGCTTACCCCACTCCAACTTCATTCCCTCTGTCCCGCCAAGATTGTTTCTTCCCCAAGAACTTCACACTTGCTATTTTCTTTTGCTTAGACTGTCTCTGCTCACATATCCTGCCCCTGCCAACGAGGTCTCAGATTTGTCTCATCCACTGTTGTAATCACCTTTTATTGACCCCGTTGGGAAACAGGGATCTCATCTTAAACAGTATGAGATGACTGCACGCAGGGCACCCAACTCTGGACAGATAAGATAGACAGCAGCTTATTAGTCACATATACTCCCAGCCCAGGGGAGGTGCCACACACCATGAGAAGTCACTCAGGGGTTGCCCTGAGGAGTAGAATGAACCAACAGGGGCTGTGGGAGGCAGGCTTTGTAGTAACAAGAGGGTGGGGTGCTTCCAGGTTCCCGCAAGAGGACATGCTTGTTTGAATAATTTCATATACTGGCGGCTGGCAGGGAGGTGAAACTTGTCAGGGTGAAAACCAGGTGTGTGCATCTGGTCCAGCTGATAGAAGAACTAGCCAGGTGGGAGCCTTTCCCACAGGGTAGGTGACATACCTGGCGAGAGCACAGGAACTCACACGTAGGCCTTCAGGGTCCTGTGATGCTCAGAGGTGTCAAGGAAGCACTTGACATTTTAGGTCTTATAGCACATTCATAGAAATAGATGCCTTTCCTAGCCACTCAAAATAAAACATTACTTCCAGACACTCTCTGTCACTTAATGTTCATTAATTTTAGACACAACTTTCAACATCATCAGAAATTATATGGAGTGTTTATTTTTACACCATTAGAATATAAGATCCAGGGAGTGGGAACCTCATTCTTGTTTATTGCTATGTACCAATGGCTGGGTAACACTGGTGCCCAATGTATGTGCATTTCTTGAGTGAATGAGTGACGGGTGAGACGTGGCCAAGGGCTGAAGGGGGAGGAGAGAATCCAGGCTGACTCAGAACTTCCTGGCTGAGGGAACTAACAGGACGGATGACGGTGCCAACCACCATGATGGGGGCCCAGGAAGGAGAGCTGGTTACAAGAAACAAGAGATGAGCTCAGTTTTCCAGCATTGCACGGGCAGTGAATGTTGAATGTGCTGAAGTGTCCGGGGGCAGGGAGTTCTGTAGGCATTTTGATGTCATAGTCACTAGTATCACTGAGTATTAGCCGGATATGCGTTGGCTGATTTTCCAAAATTTCTCTTCCAGATGCTCCACCTGGTGGCCCATCCTCCCTTGGGAGCCAGTCAACGTGCCTTCTGGAAGTCTCTCCTGGCACACCAAGAAAAGGTGAGCCACAAGCCAAGTGCCCATTAGAATACATGAGGCTACATGGAACAGACGGTCCAACCAAGGGCAAGCAAAAAGGATATTTATTTCACGTTTGCCTTTAACAAGGAGTCTCGGGGTCAGTGGGTGCAGAATTCGTGGGGTGGATGAATGACACCATCAAAGCCAACCTCTTCCTGTGTTTCAATTCGACGAACCTGCGTGCGGCAGCATTTTGTCCTAACACCTGTTCCCGCATGGTTGAAGGATGGCTACCAAACCCTCTCACACAACTGAGTCACAACCAAGGTGAAAAAAGGAGGCTGCAGGGTTTCTTCTTCAAGAGACTCAAGAGTCTCTGTCACTTAATCCAGGAATAAAATCCTTCTAATAAGCTTCCTCCCCATTAGCAGTGACACCCACGGAACCATTGGTCAGGACCGGGGCACATGCCTGTTCCCCGCACAGTTCCTGGCACAGGGGAGTGAGGTTACTTCTGACTGGTTTAGCAAAGCCGTAATCCATCCCCCGGGGCTCGTGAAGGGCAGCATTTGCCATTCACTGGAATCATGGGTCCACGCCCCCTGCCTGGCAGAATCAGGAATGTCAGCAGGGAAGAAACTGGGGTATGGTCTTTTGGGGAGATGGCAACATGGTCAACAATGGAGCAAATATTTCTGGCCATTTTTTTCAAGGGTGGCACAAAGTGCATTGAATCTTGACTCCTTGCCCACTGTAGGCCTATCATGTGTTCTTTTTTTTTTTTTATAATTTATATACTTACTTTTTTTATTTTTATTTATTTATTTTTTGAGACAGAGTCTCACTCTGTTGCCCGGGCTAGAGTGCCGTGGCGTCAGCCTAGCTCACAGCAACCTCAAACTCCTGGGCTCAAGCAATCCTACTGCCTCAGCCTCCCGAGTAGCTGGGACTACAGGCATGCGCCACCATGCCCGGCTAATTTTTTCTATATATTTTTAGTTGTCCAATTAATTTCTTTCTATTTTTAGTAGAGACGGGTCTTCCTATTGCTCAGGCTGGTCTCGAACTCCTGAGCTCAAACAATCCGCCCGCCTCGGCCTCCCAGAGAGCTAGGATTACAGGCGTGAGCCACCGCGCCCGGCCAGAAAGCCAATTATTGAGACCATGAGGATTGTCAAGGAAGAAGGGAGATTTATTGGAGAGGACGTAAACAGGGAGGTGGGAGGACTGCCTCAAATCTGCCTCCCCACCTGACGAAGTCAGGGGTTTTTCTAGAGGTGAAATGAATGATGCACGGAGAGAGTGGGCATCATTACATGTTAGGGGCCGAGTGCAGGGCGCTGGCATGCAGTGAGAAATCATATGGCACGTACGTTGCATGGTGGAAACATGGCTGATAAGCCCTTCCCAGCGTGCAGATTTTAGCAGTGTTAAATATAATGAGCTAGGGGTTAGTACTGGTCATTCTTTCCGCCTCGTGTGCAGGCGGGATGTGGGGAGCAGGCGGCTCAGTGGGTCCTTGGGCAAGATCTGCGGTGGGGTGTCGCTTGTCTTATCTTTGAATAAACAGGTGGTGTGAGGCCTTTAGTTATCTCGAGGATGCAAAGAGATTCGGCCATTTCTGAAAAAAACAACTCAAAAGAGGGTGGGTCAGTGAAGTAGAAGGTTACAAAGTTCTGGTCGGCAAATCTTACTGGTCTGGGAGCTAGAGACACATACGAGAACTGCAGAAAGGCATTTCTGTTCCCGGAGCCGGTGACAGGAGCAGCCCGGCCCCGCAGCTGTCAGGGCTTACGTGGTGACTGCGTGGATGTGTGAGATCTGACCACGGGGTCTACAACTTGGCATTGCTTCAGCAAAGTCAGGCAGGGATGTTCAGACCCTTTTATTTATTTATTTTTGGCTTCTTCTGCATTTTTAAAATCAATTTTATATCATAAACACTCTCCGTTGTCATTACTTATTCACCAGAATTTTAGCGGCTGTACATAGTTTCATTCCTTCATCTTTAGTTCTTAGTTGGGAAGGAAGAGGGGAGGAAGGAAGGAAGGAAGGAAGAAGAAAGAAAGAGGGAAAGAAAGAAATGCAGTCTCTCATTCAACAGGTGAGGAGCAGGCCCAAGATTTCCCAGCTCCCTGGCAATGCCTGCCCCAGGGACCTCCCTTCGAGTCGCGGCATAAGCGCCGTGTGAGAACAGCCCACGTTAATGCCTCCGCTTCCCACGAGAAGGGCAGATCTTCACAGACAAGCACCGAGGCTCTCAAGCCCCATCTAGAAAACTGTTCCAAGGCCACTGCAGAACAAGTAGGCACATGGGTTCCTTTAACTCGTGAATTCATTAACGGTTGCTGATGAGTCTTCCTCGGCTCCTTCATCCCTCCCTTAGATCCCCGGGAGGTCTACAGGGACTCGGTGCGCAGGGCGTTCCGGCTGATGGAAGACCGCAACGCGCGCCTGGGCGAGTGCGTCAACCTCAGCCACCGCTACACCCGGCTGCTCCTGGTGAAGGAACACTCCAGTCCCATGCGGGCCCAGCAGAAACTCCTGGACACGGGCCGGGGACACGAGAGAAGCGTGGGACACCAGGCCAGCCCCATCCAGATGGAGACCCTCTTTGAGCCGGACGAGGAGCGCCCCGAGCCCCCGCGCACCGTGGTCTTGCAGGGCGCGGCGGGGATCGGGAAGTCCATGCTGGCGCACAAGGTGATGCTGGACTGGGCCGACGGGAAGCTCTTCCGAGGCCGGTTTGATTACGTCTTCTACATCAACTGCAGGGAGATGAACCAGGGCGCTGAGCGCAGCGCGCGGGACCTCATCGCCGGCTGCTGGCCCGAGCCCAGCGCGCCCCTGCAGGAGCTGGTCCGGGTTCCCGAGCGCCTCCTCTTCATCATTGACGGCTTCGACGAGCTCAAGCCTTCTTTCCACGACCCTCAGGGGTCCTGGTGCGTCTGCTGGGAGGAGAAGCGGCCCGCGGAGCTTCTCCTTTGCAGCCTGATCAGGAAGAAGCTGCTTCCTGAGCTGTCTTTGCTCATCACCACGCGGCCCACGGCTTTGGAGAAGCTCCACCGCTTGCTGGACCACCCCAGGTACGTGGAGATCCTGGGCTTCTCTGAGGCGGAGAGGAGGGAGTACTTCCACAAGTATTTCCACAACGCCCAGCAGGCCAGCCAGGTCTTCAACTTCGTCAGGGACAACGAGCCCCTCTTCACCATGTGCTTTGTCCCCATGGTGTGCTGGGTGGTTTGCACCTGCCTCAAGCAGCAACTGGAGGGTGGGGGGCTTTTAAGACAGACGTCCAGGACCACCACAGCAGTGTACCTGCTCTACCTTCTGAGTCTGATGCAGCCCAAGCCCGCGACCCCGTCCCTCCGAGGGCTGTGCTCCTTGGCCGCCGATGGCCTCTGGAATCAGAAGATCCTATTTGAGGAGCAGGACCTCCGGAAGCATGGCCTGGATGGGGCGGATGTCTCTGCCTTCCTCAACATGAACATCTTCCAGAAGGACATCAACTGTGAGAAGTACTACAGCTTCATCCACTTGAGTTTCCAGGAATTCTTTGCGGCCATGTACTATGTCATGGACGGCGCGGAGCGTGGGTCAGGCCCAGACCAGAACGTGACCAGGCTGTTGGCGGAGTACGGGTTTTCAGAAAGGAGCTTCTTGGCACTCACTGTCCGCTTCCTCTTTGGACTCCTGAATGAGGAGACGCGAAGCTGCCTGGAGAAGAGTCTCTGCTGGAAGGTCCCACCTCACATCAAGGCGGAGTTGCTGGACTGGATCGAAAGCAAAGCCCAGAGCGAGGGCTCCGCCCTGCAGCAGGGCTCCTTGGAGCTCTTCAGCTGTCTGTATGAGACCCAGGAGGAGGAATTCATCCAGCGGGCCCTGAGCCACTTCCAAGTGGTGGTGGTCAGGGACATTGCCTCCAAGATGGAGCGCATGGTCTCCTCGTTTTGTGTGAGGAACTGTAGGAGCGCCCAGGTGCTGCACTTGCGTGGGGCAGCCTACAGCACCGACGAAGACGACGGGACCAGATGGACTCCGGGAGCCCACACGCTGTTGGCGCAGTCGTAAGTACCCCCTGGGGCTGGCTCTCCAAGTTCACACTCTTAACCAGTGTTTCTCCACTGGGAGTGGTTTGGCCCTCTCTCCCCAAGACACACTTGGCAATATCTGGAGACATTCTTTGGTTGCCACAACTGGGAAGCAGGGCCATTGCTACTGACACCTGGTAGAGGCCGGGCGTTCTGCAAAACATCCTGCGATACCCAGGACTGTCCCCCACAGCTAAGGACGATCTGGCCCCAAAGTGCGAATAGTGCCATGGTTTAAGAACCCCGCTCTTACACAATACTCTTTGGGACTAAATTGGAGTCTATGTTAAGGAGAATTAATGCAATCAGCAAATATTATTGAGGCCAAGGCGGGAGGATAGCTCGAGCTCAGGAGACCAGCCTGAGCAAGAGTGAGACCCCGTTTCTACCAAAAAGAAAAAGAAAAAAAGAAATTGGGAAAAACCAAACAAATATTATCAAGGGCCTTATATCTGTGGGCAGTAGACAGTGCGGAAAAGCCAGCCAATGCCCTACCGCGGCATGAGTCCTAATGAGAAGGGAGCTAGATAATAAAGAAATGAATAAGCAAACAAGTGAAGAAAATCAAAACAGTTCACCCCAAAATATATTTCTTTGACATACATTGAGGTGGCTGTGCAGAGAGCCAGCAAACAGGAGTAGCCCTGCAAAGCTGCCTTTTGTCGGGAAGATTTGCATCTGCAGAGAATCCGCACTGATGCGGCCAGGTTTCCTCCATGTTCTCCCATCTCTGCATCTAAGAAAGATGAACTGAGGGTGTGATGCATTTAAAGGTCTGAAAGAGGCCGGACACGGTGGCTCACGCCTGTAATCCCAGCACTCCAGGAGGCCGAGGTGGGAGGATTGCTTGAGGTCGGGAGTTCGAGACCAGCCTCAGCAAGAGCAAGACCCCGTCTCTACTAAAAAATAGAAAAAATTAGCCAGTCAACTAAAAACAGAAACAGAAAATTATCCGGGCCTGGTGGCGCATGCCTATAGTCCCAGCTACTCGGGAGGCTGAGGCAGAAGGATCGCTTGAGCCCAGGAGTTTGAGGTTGCTGTAGCTAGGATGACACCACCGTGTTCACTCTAGCCCGGGCAACAAAGTGGGACTCTGTCTTAAAAATAAATAAATAAATAAAGGTCTGAAACAAACATTCACCGTGGATGCTCTCTGAGGGCTGCCACCTGTGAGGTTTCATCTGCACCATTGCCTTTGCCAGCCAGGCTTCCTCTTCTCTTCTGTAACCTGCTTTGCTGAAATCCAAGCCCCCATGCTTTCTGTAACCTCAAGATGGTATAGAAGCTTCTGAACCCCACTGGGGGGGTTGGGGTAACCACCCTGTGCTTCTTCCCCATGTGTGTGTTATTAAATTTGTGCATCTTTTCTCCAATTAAGGTGCCTTTTTTCAGTTGATTTTTTGGCAAACCTTCCGAGAGCAAAGGGGAAGTTTTCCCTTGGCCCCTACACGAGCAAACAAACAGATCAGTGATTAAGATAACTTACTTCTCTAAGTACTGTGAGGAAAGTAAAACGGGCGTGTACTGGACAGTGACTGGGGGGGGGTGTACAGCAGCAAAAGTGGTCAAGGAAGGAAGCGCCGAGGAAGTGATATTTCAGCTGAGACTTTGTTTGTGTTCCCCAAGGAGTAATCTCAGAAACAAGGATTTGAATGTTTATTTGGGGGATGGCCTCAGGAAACACGAGTCCAAAAGTGGAGACGACAGACAAGGGAGGGAAGAGGGCTGACAAAGGGGGTGCAATCGCGCTGGTTACGCCTGCCCACTCAGCAGCGAGGGAGCCGAGGTCTTGACACGCCGGCTCCCCCTGGGCCACGGAGCAAGCACTGCCGGGCGGAGCTCTCCTTGCCAGGCTCCCCCAGTCGGCCCAGTTAACATCCGCTTCTAACTTCAGCGACCAGACAGAGCCAGGCACGCGAGAATTCAGGAAGGAGGGGGTTCCAGGAAGAGGGAGAAGCGAATACAGGGACTCTGGGGTCACAGGCACTGACATGCCCACATCCCACTGTGGTTTGGGCTTTTTTCCAGCTACCGGTCTCTGCCTGGTTGCTCATGACTCCCCAACCCACGTGGAATCGTAATTGTGGTAACCAGAGTTCTCAGGGATGACAGATGCCACAACAGTGTGTGTCAACTGTAGTTGGGAGCAGTTCCACCTTCATCTAGAAGGGGCGAACGTTAGACCCCAGAGAACAAATGTTGCTTTGCTTAATCAATAAAATCTTCCCAACAGGCTGAAATTAAAGATGCCAAGCTGTAATCACAGCTAATACGCACTGGAAAATTACCTTGTGCTATAAATAGCACTCTCCATGAAATAAAGATTAGTTCATTGAACCCCAACAGCAATGCTATGAAACAGTGCCGTGGTTTTCTTCATTTTTATAATTGAGGAAGTTGAGGTTCAGAATAGTAGAATAACTCACAAAAATTTCTGCAGCTAATAAGTCATTAGAACTGGGGAGGCTGG